CCATAAAGATAATGGAACCCATACAGCACATGTTTATCCAGAGGATGTTAAAAGAACATCCAGGCTGGATTTTAAGGATATTCTATACACATCCGTTACATGTTCGACCGACATCTTCAGGATGTAGTATGGATAGACGAATGTCACAGTTTCGTATATTCATAAAACATCCACAAGGGCGTATGAAAAACATTTGAACGGGATATATACAGGACATCTTAGGAAGGATATATATCCATTGCGTATAATGTATTATATCTATGTAGGTATTCTAATGTATATATTATGCAGTTTTCGATCATACTTTTTGATGGAATCAACAGGCTCTTTATACAAATGCATATAAATGTCAACCTAAATTTATTACATACAAAAACAAGATAAAACACTTATTTGTACATGATACGAAATAATATTATTATTACAATCAGGTCTGCCGATTATTCTTCATAATAAAACCTTCTTTCGCTGTTCACAACCAATTTGCTATTCCTTCTTCCAAATTATTAGCTGAACAATTTAATGTTGCTGCATTTAATTCAGCAGCATCTGCAGTATAGAACCATATTAATTTTTATTAATAAAAATTATTGAATCTGGATTGAAGTCATCATCATCATCATAAGGTCGTCAGTCCTAAGACTGGTTGGACACGCACCACCACTTCTTCCTATTCTGAGCTAAACTTCGCATTTTCCTGAAAGTAGAACAACCTACATCCTTAACTATCTGCGAACAGTAATCTAACCTAGGTCTACCTCTACCCCTCCTAACTTCTGTTTCTGCCTCTAATATGTCTCTGACTAGACCTTCATGCCTGAGAAAGTGTCCTACCAACCTATCCCGCCTATTTCTTATTGACTTCCATAGAGTCCTCTGTTCTCCTATTCTTTCTAATACCTCTTCATTTCTAGCCTTTTCTAGCCACGTCTTTTTATAATTCATAATAAACAATTATTCTTTTAATTGCAATCTTAAATATGTCTTGGTCATTTAAAGTAATTGTTTATATATACCGACTTTATTTATAAATTTTATTCCCTGGGTCATCAATGACTTTAACTTTGACTTTTGCCAGAAGGTTGGTTGTCACTAGACCAACTCTGGTACGTCTTTGGGTTTCATCCTTGGTCCAAGATTGTATGCCAAGTCAGGCCCGATGTTATCATTTACTAGTTCAACCATATTTGGCCAGAGCTCATGACTGGTAAACCCACACCTAACCCAATCGTACATGGATGCTACTTTTTCGGTCTACACTATGTATATATACCGGGTGTTTAGAAAACCACTGTTCTCTCTTAGTCACGTATTAACCTTGAATACTACTTCAATAATCTTAAAATCATGAAGGTTTGAATAAAGGAGTATGAAAGCTCTTAAAATAGGTAAATTTAATTTTCCAATAGACGTTTACCGAAACAATTTTCCATTAATAGTTACTGGACTAATGTCACTGTCATTAAATTTTCTCATCTAAATGTTTAGGTAGTTTTACTTTAAAGTGGCGGTCGAGATACAATGTAAAAATTTTGATGCTTAATATTAATTTTGAAAACGGGGTGTCAAACTGAAAAGTAACACATATAAAATTGTATTTGAAAAGCTTGAGAAAAATTGTTCATTGCGAGTCCTTATTGAAATGAAGGATTAAGTCCCCATATTTCGTAGATAATGGCATATTCAACAGAAACTCCATCTATTTTACTAATATTATCTGTTAAATAAATGCAATAACTTGTTGAAAATTCTGGGTATCAAACTTTAAGTTATTTGGAATTTCCGATATTTAACAAAATAATTCGAAGTGGTCTGTATTCTGTCGAAACTGCAAGACAAGGATCGCGATTTCAATCTTTTTGGATCTCATCAGCGAGTCGCAGGCAGCTCCGACAAAACACAGACCAACCTTTACCTGCTGTCTTAACAGCGCGTTTTAGAAAATACTACAAATGGCGTGGTGAGCGCCATCTGTAGTACGATGCTACATTTTAGGATTACGTATGCTCCAACAAGGTCCATTTAAATATATGGATATATGTTCGATTATGGTAACGTGCCTATCACGTTGAGGTGAGCTACGCCGGGATACGTTTCAGCAAGTAGATATCCATATATTTAAATGGACCTTGTTGGAGCATACGTAATCCTAAAATGTAGCATCGTACTACAGATGGCGCTCACCACGCCATTTGTAGTGTTTTCCATTCCGATATTTGATTAGAATTTCAAATCAAATAGGTACCTATCAGGTAGTGCCATCGAAACATAGTTCATAGTGAAAAATGTATAGAGAAATAAAATACGTTGACTACAACAGAGTTGCCCATTACAAGCGATTTGCACAGCTACGACAAATTCTTAGCGTCTTCCAGTTCGCTATAAGAGGACCTGTTTGTAGAGGTATTTTAAACTCTCATGGGCCGCCATGCGTGAGATGTTGGCTTTATTGCATTCACATTATGCATTTTGGAAACATTTATTCGACCGTATGCCTCGCTATACAACCAGAGACACGACTCCAAACGACTATAATCTGTTTAAGCGACAGAAATGTAGAAATCAATAAACGTGTGGAATTTTGTCACTTTGCAATTTAGGTTATGACCCATAAAATTCGGAAATACCTCTACTTATTAAGCTTTAGGATAAAAGTAACTGTCTAGAATCTGAAGGGAATCCTCAGTGAGCAAAAACTGCTCGCATTTTTCGTTTTTGGATTTTACATGAATAAATTCAATTTAAAAGTTAACAACATCGTATTTTGAATAATAATTCTGAATCGCAATAATTAAGAGAATTTTTGAAGGAGCTTTCTTTTTTCTGATAGTCTGTATAACTTCTAGTAACATTTAACTACTCAATTTTAGGAATTTTTGGTAATGGGGTTTTTATTACGAACTTGTTACAAATTTAAGAAACAAAAGCGATAGAACAGTTATTATTGTTCAGTACTCAATTAAGTAATTACGGAGTTACGTAAGTGTTCAATTATTAAATTATACCCTTGATTGTCAAAATCAATAGCAACCTATTAAAAATGAAAGTCGACAATTACTTAAAATGCATTATTAATTCCGAAAGGAACCTCTCATTAACAAAGTAATTTGAAAAAATAAATAAAAGTTGATTAAAAATGATTTTGTGTGGGGTAATGATCAATGAATTAAAAATTTTACTATCTGTAAGTAAATGATTCTAGACTTTTGAAAATATATAGGTTTTTGTTGGCGGTACAAGTAAGTAACCCAACTAGTGAAAGTATGGCGTTTAATTAAAAATGTTATTGGTTATTTGTGGAAAACATTAAGAAATTAATATTAAACTACAAATTACAACTGAAAATGTAAAATCGTTATGAACTTACACAACAGTTTAAATTATCTTAGCTGAAGTTTAATTTCATTACAAGAAATAAACCTTGACAAAAATTGTCTTCACTTTTTAAAAATAACTTTTAACTTTTCACTTTTAATCATCGTAATGAGGTACCTTCATACATAGATATGAAACCAGGTCTGACAATTATTTTTAAGTAATTTTTGACATGAAATTGTAAAAATATGCAATTCATTTCTAAAAAGCAATATATTTATTGAAGACCCATGAAGACAATCTTTGTTCATCCGCTAGATTATTTATTCTAAGCATTTTTCTTAGACAAATTGTCATAATAAAAACTGAAATTTAACTCGCCAAACGTGACTATCACTTAAAAAAAAAACAAATTCAAATATGAAAAAATTAAGAAATACTGGCCTGTGTCAACTCAAGGATATCAGAAGAAAAATCTGATAAGTTTCATATGAAAGAAATGCTTCAAAAATTCAACAAATATATAAAGCAATATGAGTGGAATTAAATATAGATAAGTCAATAATTTTAGAAGAAAAAAGAGGAAGATAGAAAGAATTAAGAGTTATAGCGGGAAGAGGAGGAAAAAACACATTATTTGAAAGACAAAAGAGCAAAAAGAAAAAACGAATTATTCAAACTACATCAACATTAGACTGATAAAAAAGAATAGAACGGTACCAGCAAGAAAAAAACAAGAAAATATGCAAGCGCTGTAAATTGAAGCCAGAGGTGCTTAAACATGTTTTTCGAGAAATGTGGAATAACAAGAAAAGGAAAATGAGAAATTCAAATGGAAGGAAAGGACAGTCTAAAAAGGATAAGGGAAATCTTATGGAGGAGAAAAATATCAGACAAGCGAGAGAAACGAGAATGTGGTTGTGAATGAAGACATACCTACATCATAAAATGATTAACATGAAAAAACCCAGCGCTCTAATTTCATTCCTCCTATGAAAATTAGTGCTATTTGTAAGTTTTTTGATTAATTATCTTGTAGAATCTTTCTGTAACTATATTTTTTGTCATGTCCCTATTGGAAGTACAATAGTTTTCCGGGATTTTAAGGCAAAAAAACCAACACTCCCCTCCGGGTAAGAAATCCTATTTACACCTTATTATGAAAAGATTTTACTATAGATGCATCATATAGTAATCCTGCAGAGTATTGGATAACCCGGGGAAAGTCCCTACGATTAATGGTTCATGTTTTCGTTTTGGAAGGCTTTCCATTAAACACCACCCTCATCAACAGATCCAACCTAACCTAACCTAATAATCTAACAATTATAATTCATCTACATTCGAAAGGAAAGGAAAATCTGGTGATTACTTTAATTTATTAGGTTTCTTCTTTAGATTACTTAATTAAAACTTTGTTTGAGTAGATATTAAATTTTAGTAAACAATTTCCATTTTACTATACAATTGTATATTAGTTTTTATGAAGTCCCTTTTAGTTTGAGATCTTTTCAAAAAGGAACTTATTTTCGTTGGTTGGTTCAACTTAACTGAGACAAGGCTCATGCCTTTTTCTGAACCTCACGACTATTTAATAAGTACCTATTTACTATTCGAGACAAATAAAGTATTTATTAAGTCGGGTCAGTAATAACCCGAAATGGGGTACGCAATTAAGTTCTTACCGGTGTGTGAAATATAAGCCAAGGAAGCAGGAACTCCGCGTTTCCATCGTGGTATAGTTATGAAAATTCGCCTTCCGACGACTTCGATACCCATTGGTACATTATTTGCAGGAATGTATGCACCGCTGTCCAAAGCAGCGAATTTATCACTTTCCGTTTCGTAGTTATAACTGAGCTGATTCCACTGATAAACAACTCTCAAATTATCAATTGCCAGTATCGGGTTCGCTCCAAAGAAGACGAGCAAAAAACTCGTACACCAAAACATCATGTCTAATATTATTCGAGTAGTAAGTGGATAGGTACAGGATTCGCGCTGTTTAAATTTCCTGTCGAACCAGTTAATATTATTGCTGGTGTTACCAGATACTGTTATTATGCAATTGTCGCAAAAAAAAAGGAACGTCTTATAATAAATGAACTATAATAGTCAAGGACGACTACGCCGATGACGAAAGGAACGAACACGAAGAAGTAGAAGCGGCGATAGTATGTATCAAACAGCGATAAAGAAGCAATAATAACAATTATAATCACAATAATAACGATGATAATTCGATTCACGTGCTACAGTGAGGTTAGTTTAAAACACCCGTTCGTAACATCCGGCTACTGACGATGGATGAGATAAACGTAAATCACATGCCACAATAAAAACCACTAATAACATTTACACCAATTGTGTACATCATACACATACTGTTTATTATGAGCTCGTTCTTCGCTTGTAGTAATGTATCTTTTATATTTGTGTATGTAAGTACGTGTAATAGTTAAACACACAACCCGACCGAAGAATCGGAGAGACGACCGGTGACTGGTAGAGTAGCAAGCCTTGCAAGCAATAACGTGGTGATTGACTGACTGACGACTGCTTTTTACGCTACAACACGCGATGTATCCACAGCAAGTTTTCCAGCTCGACCCGAACATTCAAACTTACGCACATTATTGTTGAGGAGGTAGGTACATACATGGGTACTGTCCAAGGTGTGTCTGACTGCACAATTTGCAATCGAATGACCTCAGAACAGCGTTCAGCAGTGAAAGTAGTATGTAGTTTATTATATTAGTAGTGGTATTGTTGATGAGGACCGAAAAACAATAACAGCTGTAGAGTACTGACCAAATCTCCTCTGCCGGTCCCCACTGTAAATCTATTGTCTACGTATGACCAGTTCCGGAGTAACGAAGAACACACAACAATTGTACAAGTGTTATGGTAGGCAGTGGGCACCGGAATTATATATTACGTCATCGGAGACTACCAGGTAAAGGTTTCCGGAATGTCAACAATCTCACTGTCTCGTAAAACAGGATCGTTAATAAATACGTAAATCACCATCAAACTGGAATTACCTAAAGTAGACGAATCGTATTCTTCATCTGGGCTTCAGTTAATTTATTTTCTTGCTGTTCGATCGCTACTCGATGGCTACTGGTTAGTCTTGATGAAGCGAGCGAATCATCTGTGTCTAGTAAATTCCTAGCAGTCGTTTTCTGTTTTTGATGAATGATGTTCAGATGATTTTTCTGCCAATCACTCGTAGTATGACCAGTCCCGGAGTAACGAAGAACATGCAACAATAGTACAAATGTTATGGTAAGCAGTGGACACCGGAATTATATATTACGTCATCGGAGACTAACAGGCGAAAGTTTCCGGAATTTCAACAATCTCACCATCTCGTAAAACAGGATCGTTAATAAATATGTAACTCACGATCAAGCTGGAACTACCTAAAGTAGACGAATCGTATTCTTCACCTGGGATTCAGTTAATTTATTTTCTTGCTGTTCGATCGCTTCTCGATGACTACTGGTGTAGGGGAGATCTTTATTATTATTACGGATGATGATATATTTCACCTATTTAATTAACTTAATATATACCAATAGCCTTACAGTTATTTCCTCCTACCAGCTTTACATATGTAGCAACCAGTGGATTCCCCTCGAGAGTTGCATCTTGCGATGTGACAATGAATGTAAAACAACTTGTAAGGAAATAAACAAAAACCCTCAATTATAACAACACAATGCGATAAACAATTTAAACACTTACGCGGGCCGACGCCCCAGTTGGGGCCGCCCTTGCGATGTCCCAACGTAGTCGAACTCGGTGATGTAGTTGTGTCCAACGAAGAATCCCTGATGACGATTGTAGACTGTCTAAAACAATAGGTGTTTGCCACACCTAGGCCCCAGCTAAATAACCAGGCATTCTATGCATTGGCCGTATGCATAGATCGCTCCCATTGCTTATCATTACATTGGCAAGCTATGTGTAGAGACTTATCTCTTTACTGGACGCCCTTGTACCGATGTCACCGCAGCTCTACCGACACTTAGGCCAGTGCTGTATACGGTAGGTCAAGGAGTGGACTTCTACCCTCATTAACACACGACACCCACAGGTGCACACTAGGGATATCTAGCTAGATCTGCAGTGGACTACCTGGCGCACAGGATTTACTCCACCTAAATGTGTCTTCGACTCGTCGGCCGTTAACCTTACATTTCCACAATAACAACAATAACACTTAAAATACATAATATGTGCACAATAACCAACTTTCTCAATATTATCAAATATTAACTACCCTTACGGCACCTTACTCTTTCACCCGCCCTTATGGCGCTTTACACATCCTTACACGCCGACTGCCGCTTCGCTAGAGTCCTTATCCTAAAAGTTCTCATCATTATTTGGTTAGCCCAAATAGTAAATAAATAGCTCTCCTACATTGGTTAGTATTGATGAAGTGAGCGAAATGTCTGTGTCTAGTAAATTACTAGCAATCGTTTTCTGTTCTTGATGAATGTTGTTCAGGTGGTTTTTCTGGCAGTCAGTCGTAGTTGCTCATTATTGGAAATGGAAATTGACCAAACAAAATAGTATCAATTTCTTTTAAATAAGTTAATTTGTACTAATTGCATAATAAATGGTTAGCTAGAGTTTTCTTATAAAATTCCTTCACTAAATTCCATTATTAGGTCCAATCAATAATAATAACGTTAATTTCATAAATAATAGCCATCATGATTTGCATTATTGATTTTCAACTCTTCAGATTTTATGCTGCAGTAACTTTTTTTACAATTCCAATGTCAATGATATAACGCCGATGGAAGTCGAAGAAGGAACTTCAAGATTTTATTTTTGACTATTCTCATCGTCATGCGAGAGGGGGTTGAATTCAACCAGATACAGAAAAGTTCTAAAAACAGGTATGAAAGAGCTAACAATGAGCCAGGTATTAGTGTCAGAAAAACCTCATTTATGCTACCAGGAATTATTGAATTCGTCACGTACATTTTGTCTGTATGACAATGAAATTATTCACAAATATTATAAACCCAAATAATAAAGGAAAGGAATTTATGACCTAAAATGTTTTGAAGAAATGTTTGAAGTTGAACTGAACAAAGAAATTTGAAATGTACGATAAATAAAGTAATATATAGATCAGTCGGATTTTTTCCCCAAAAATGCTAATCTTAACTTAATTCGTTGCTCTACCTACAGCACGATAGAGATTTTATATTACAATAACTAAAAGTTCCTACTTCACTTACTAAAATCTAGTTGCAGGTATGACTTTATATTGGGAATAATTGAATAAATCATCGAGCTTGCAATGCTAATAATTTATACGCTAAGTCGCTCGCTATTATCATTTGGAAGCAGGGCACTTGTCATGGAATTTTACATATATAACACCTTCACCCCCAGAATGTAACATTTGTCTGGAAGAATGATATTACTACCCTGTTGATCCAACCACTGAATGACTAATAGGCACACGCCAGAAAATAAATTAGAAAACACATCAAACAGAAAGCCCTAGAATAAAAATGATAAAAATTCAGAAAATACTTTAAGTACCTACCATATGAGTACTTGAAGTATTTTTGACGTGACAACGTCTTATAATTCGATGGAGCCGGCTGCACGCACGAAAAAACATGACTCATGCGGCGTTACCTCGCTCTGAGGCGTTCCATTTAAGGCTTGAAGTGCAAGAGAGAGCGCGGAACAAGCGACAAAGAGGCACAGTCGGCTTCCGCGTTCGGCAGCGTTCGACATCTGTCTCTCTCCTACTTGAGTGAGCGATGCGTCCGCGTGGACAGCTGCTATACAATAATACATTTCCATTTACCTCCTTCTCTATATCCATACAAAATATATATCAAACAAATAAAGTTAAAATTTTCTTTTGAAAAATGAAACCATTCCATCAGTATTTTCTTATGACGTTGTCACGTTCAACTATCGTCAGTAAACCGACTTTACAGACAACCGATAAATATACTCGAAATAATAATAAGAATTCAGCTTCCCAATTCCTGTCAATTAAAATTGGTAATTCCAATAGTAGTTGCATTGTATTTAGTAATTGAATAGCGAAGTATGCCTATCAAATAATTAGTTTATAGTTGTTACTGGAGATAGCGTAATAAAGTACTCTCTGTTCCATTTACAATCTGGGGAAACGGAATTTTTCAATATCCAAAGTTGAAGGATTATTAGGATACAATACAGAAAAAAGCAAACTTAATGACGACAACAAAAAATGGCAAATTTAAACAGTGCAGAAATAGTAGTATCCAAATCTCAAGATGTATAAAAACTAAAATTTATTCATTTTTTTTAAGATTTTCTTGCCCAAATTCGTATTATTTACATCTAAATTAGTGAGTACGCAGCTTTTCGTAGTTTAAATTACCTAATACATTTTAGATTTTTCGTAATTGAGGAGACTTTTTATTATCCGTAGATACAAAGGTCTTGACGACATTCTGCAATATGATGAGCTATTAGGTAGGTGCATCTAGTTAAAGGTCTATTATTGTCAATTTAAAATCTGAATGTAAGAAAGATACATCAAAGTTCTTGCTTGCAAACTGAAGTAGGTACACTTCCAGAAGGTTGTATGGTGACCTACAAAGCCCACGACTGTGATGTTTATCGCTAATATTTTTCCAATCGAACAAAGCGACTCATGATTGCAGCAAGACCTGTCTGTTAACATATGCCCATTATAATAAATTGCTAAGAAAACTGATGGTAGAATGGTAATGAGATAATTTAACTGCATTGATTACAATCTAAATCATAGACATATACAAATATATTAGGTAAGTAAAAACAAGCACTTCTTTATAAGAGTAATACATTACGATATTTTCCCTAGCTGCTTCGGGTAAATACAGCATTTGCTACATTTTACAATGGCATCAGCATGTTATTCCAGAGATGAAGAAATCTGCGCGAAGATAGAAAGAATACACACTAGGCGTGAGTAAGACAGAAATAGTTGGAACAAGTTTGAACGAGCAGAGCTCTCGATGGGCGGTCTTGGGAGATCGACTAGAACTGTACAGTACTAGACGAAAATGTTCAGCAATTTCTTAAAACAAAAATGTATATTAATCAACAATAGAAAACAAAGCAAAAGTTTTATAGGTGTGTAGAACGTTCAGTTAATTCACTTGTTATTATTTTTGGCTCAGTATGCTTTTAAATATAAGCATATTCTTAAATTTTAACGAGACAGTTTAAATAATTTTGCAAATGGTACTGTACACTTTTGTCTAGTTCTCGCTCGATGATCGGTGGAGAAATGAGCTCCGCAGACAAATAAGGGAAGGGGCATATCTCTAACTTCTTGAAACGAACAGTAATGTTGTTGGAATTGTATAATATTTACATATGTTGACCTACTGCATGAGCTTCTGAGCGATTACACTAATTTTCTGTATGAGTGTATGAATCTGACGGAAACGAGTCTCCAGCACAAAACATTACTACTAGGAATCTCCAGAAAACTACTAAACTAATAATAATATCCGAATTTTTACTTAAGGAGACAAGCGAATCACTTGAGGAATCCCCTAAACTATTGCGATGTAGGAAGCTAAAATATTTACAAAAAGTCGTAAATTCCTGCAACAAGGATCAGTCATATTTTTTTTTTAATTTATGAATTTTTGAAAAAATTAAAAACACTCATACTTTGTTCAAGCAAATTGTATGCCGAGAATAAATGAATATTAATAGGTACCTAAAGCTCCTACTCTGTTTAAGCTGTAAGTAAAATTGCTTTCGATATAACTGCAGTTTTATAATTTTTTGATTTTTGACTTCATATCTCAGATATTTTACATCTTCATTTTGATCAAAATGTCTACGTCTAATAGTCCAAATAACATTAAATATATCGAACAATTCGAAAAATTTTGGAAAACTATCAAGTATTTTCAATTACTTATCTGTAATAGTAATTCGGAATATGAACCGCTGGTTCAAAATAGTGAAAGTAAAGAAATTAGTGATTTCTGTTTGGTAAAATATGAGAAATGTGTATGTATAATAAGTAACCATTACAGTACCAAGACTAAATTATCCATTGTCCATTGACATAAAGGATGATTTTTTATTTAATTCTTAATTATAAATTTACTGGTAATAAAAGCAATAATTTACGCAGTGAAGTGGAATTTGTTTAAGAAGCTAGAAACCCGATAAAAACTAGGTTGATTATAGACTTGACCTCGACTGCGAGGTCAAAGCAAAATCACATATTCCAGCAATTGTTAAATACGTCTTTAATTTTCATAATGATCGCTGGTATTGTACCATAGCTTTTGCAGCTCGTATAATATTACTATAAAAATCAAAAGCTTTCGACTACTGAAGGTCCGCGTAAACATTAAGTCAATATAATTGTTAATAAATAAACATAAAATCGGTGCTACGCGCCTAATTAACCAACTTAGAGTAAATTGAATAAGGCTTTCACGGTTGGCGATGGGCTATTGTTTTTCAATTATCAATTATAAAAACTGAACTCTTGAAAATGCCAATCACTCATGTTGGCGAAAATGGAGAAAAAATGTCCATTAATGCTAATAAGCCCGAAAACTTACACTACACACAACTTAAACATACACTCAGAAAAATGCTGTAATAAAAATTACTATAACGTTGTAGAGGTCGTTTTGTAGAAAATGCGACTCAAGTTTGTAGTAGGGTTAACTAACGGTAAACTTAAATTTGACTATAAAATTGTAGTGGTAAATTGTAGGAGAAATATCGACAGGGGCTCAGGCAAATTTCTTACAATTTGAATGAAATATTTACGACAACAACTTTGTGAATTTCATTATAAATTGTAGAAAGGTTAAACAAATTTTGTAGAAAATATAAGGAAAAAAAGTAGCAATTTTTATTAAATATTTATTGCGTTTCAGTTTTTTGTTCTGACTCAGTGCAAACATATCTAGAACCGTAGTAGGGTGTGATCTCGTATGTAATATTTGCTAATATTGTGCAATAAGTTTCTTCGCTTGTATGGTGTTACTACGCGTTAGTGTTAGTTAAGTGGCTTCTACTGATCTGTTCGTTCTTGTTAAGTACGGTAAGTTTATTAATTACAGTAAAATTAATAATTGAACCTTTCAATTGCACCTAGCGAGGCGAGACATTTGACAAAGGAAAAATTACAAAAAAAAGTTATCAATTTTACAGGATAATAGAAACATATCCGTCTTTTTAACGTTCATCTGAAATCTATTTTTTTAACAGCCTGTTGCTCATTATTATGGATGCTTTTACAAGAGGAAAATTGTCTGAGTGGGGTTTTCAAGATTTAGCTGATGAATGAATTCGATAGAAGTCATTTACTTGAAACAGAATGGGTAGAAGTATTTATTATTTATTTTCAGAAAAGGACGTCTACTTTGTAATAAGCTTTCAAGTTTTTGTTCCTTGTTATAAGTTAAGTTATTATGTTTTATGCTTTTTTTAATACATGATTTAAATAACTAATTGTTTTATTTGTACACTTTTCTACATATTCATTATAGCTTCTGGTGAGATTAAATTGATTAAAAATAAAATCAATAATTGTAGTGATTAATACATCATTACAACCCAAAGGTAGACTACACAATTCTAGAAATACCCACTACAATATATTTGCAAATGTACTGCAATGCAATGGTAAACTCAACCACTTTTTGTAAAGATGCGTAACATTATATTGTATAATTCATTCTTAATTGCTGTAGAGAAATATTCTACAATTTTGTATAATTTTTTTCTAATTATTGTATTGAAATATCCTACAATGAAAAGTAATTTTTAAGAGAAACTTGTAGTACATATTCTTTAACGTTGTGGTAGAGAGACAAACAGTTTGTAGACAATAGAGTAATTACAATATTATATTAATTTTCACTACAACTTGTTTCTGTCCCTATGTTCGCTACAACTTGTAATGAAAAGTTCTACAATTGTAGAAGTTTGTTCTACAGTTTTCTCTGAGTGTAGTGATGAGCAAATTGAAGACCAAGACAAGATTGATATGGTCTTAGTTTTGTTTTTCGACAATACGACTTAGTTTTGATCTTATTTTTGCAAAACTTATTGCCGTAATATTTATGGAAATTAAAATTGAGTACGTATAACATGTGCTCCGTTGGTAACTTTCTAACTTCAAACCCATCCCTACCATTGCGAAAATTTCTATGGTAATAGGTAGGCATTTAGGAAGTAAAGTAAGTCAGGACGGAAGGAGTAGTAGGGACATAAAGCAGAGGATAGCGTACGGTCAAGTCGCCTTCAATAAAAAGAAGTCAAAATAGAAGGAGGAGACTGTGGTAAATATTAATTAAAAAATTAAAAGGAATACTCACCCCTAATTACCACAAATGAATATTATATGAGCGGACACGTGTTTCGCCCACTTCACACGTGGGCATTATCAACGCGAGACTGACTTTTGTAGAAAATGAAACTCAAATTTGTAGTAAGGTTAACTAACGGTAAACTTAAATTTGACTATAAAATTGTAGTGGTAAATTGTAGGAAAAATATCGACAGAGGCTCAGACAAATTCCTTACAATTTGAATAAAATATTTACAACAACATTTTCGTGAATTTCATTACAAAATGTAGTAAGATTAAATAAATTTTGTAGAAAATATAAAGATAAAATGTAGCAATTTTTATTGAATATTTATTTGCGTTTCAGTTGTAAACAAATGTGCTACTGCTGCAATTTTGTGTATATTTTTTCAATTATTGTATAGAGATATGCTACAATAAAATGTAATTTTTAAGAAGAATTTGCAGTACATATTCTTTAAAGTTGTAGTAGAGAGACAAACAGTTTGTAGGAAAAAAAGTAATTACAATATTATATTAATTTACATTACAACTTGTTTCTGTCCCTATATTCGCTACTATTTGTAATAAAAAGTTCTACAATTGTAGAAGTTTCTTCTACAGTTTTCTCTGAGTATTCTCATACATGCACGGTTAGTCAGACATGTTAGAAGTAGAAACAGGAGTTAAGAGGAGTAGAGATATACTTAAATAGATTAGACTACTATTCAAAAAAAGTTGAAGATTTGGAATGATCTACTTTAAGCGAAATTCGAAGATTAGCTTAGGGTAGGAAAGAATGAAGGTGCGTGTTCAATCAGTCTTAGGACTGACGATCTTATGATGATGATGATAATGGTAATAGTTATTCTTCAAGGAAAAGATCGTAAAAATGGACATAAAATTGTTGTCTCCTCTTTTCCTAATCGACCAAATAGTTAGTTTTGACACAACCTGTACATCTTTCACTAAGGTGCATATAAATAAACAAGCTATTCAACACAAAAATTAGAACATTTTGTTTGTTTCTAATACAAAAACTATGCATCTTTTAATCTTTTTGTGTTTATTTGAAACTATTCTTATTGAATTCAGTATTACAAACGAAATATTACGATAAAAAGGCGAATTTTTTAAAATAACGCACTTTTTATTGCGTTATTTCATATTTTATTTTGTAACTATTAGAATTTAGCTGAGAATTTTGCGAGTATCTTCCAAGTAAGTCTTGCTCTTGGTCTTATTTTTGGCTGTGTATGCATACTAAAACCTTGGTATTGCTAAATGTGCAAAACCAAGATAAGACAAAACTGAAAGATCAAAGTCAGTTACATTACTTATTGAAAATGAAATGTCAAGAGCTCGGCTGCATTCAAAAATGAACACTCTACGGTATAAAAAGATACAAAAAGGTACCCAACAAAAATCTTTCTTTTATGGACACCAGAAAGTGATGGATTTACACCTTGGCCCATGAGGCCCGGGCGAGGGATAATTTGAGAGGCGGCAAAATTTTTAAAATGCCAAAATTTTAGAGGCGAAATAAACTAGACAATTCTTCAATTCAATTATTAAAAACAGCTACAAACCAGAAAGTTTAAGTTACTTCACTATTCCATTTATAGAAA